TTTCGCGAGAGGGTCTGGTCTGTCCCCCGTAAGGTCTGTGTGACTCGAGAAAGAGGTTTCCACTCACGACACAGGCCTGACGCCCGCCTCTCGTGGGGAAGGTGCATAATTGGGCTCACGGGGGAGAGAGCAGGGTGCTGGGTGTGCCGCGCCTGCTTCGGAACAACGTCCCCAGGTCCAAAGTGCGTTCCGAGTCCCGCTGAGGGGCCCCTCTCTTTGGAAAGACCGCACGCTGCCGGTGCCTACACTGTCCTTTACGATGGTTTTGCTCCTTCGGTCGCTGGGTCTGTTTTGTGAAATTTCATCTTTGAAAGGAACGAAGGCCATTAGCATTCAGGGTAGCCTGTGGCGCCTGGCCTGACCCAGTCTGTCTGGAATTTAACCCTCTGAACCAAACAGCACCCTTTCCTGCTGGGTGTTATCGGGGAAGCGGAGAGGGGTGGGTGGGTGACTGGGCTGTGAGTCATGGGTGGATCGAGCCTGTTCTAGAACGTACCCAAGGCCCCAGCGGTCCAGCCCGCGGGATCCGGGCTGACCAGGTTGACCACCCCAGCTCTGGTGGTGAGGCGAGGACAGGAGTGGACTCGGAGCCACCAGGGCAGGACACTGCTTCTAAAGCAGGGGCAGAGACCCACCTGTCTCCCAGGAGTCATCCCATCCAAAGCAGGAATTCGTGAAATGACAGTGTTGGTATTAACACCCCCCAAAGTAGTAAACATTTCTAAGTATAAGCTCTTCAGAAATATGCCTGGATAAGGGCTGCTTAGGCAATTACATTCCTGGGCCAGCAGATAAGAAATGACGGTCCCTTCTTCTGCGGCTGTAAGTACATATTGATTAAGTTCAAACTTAGAACTCCAAAATGAATTATCTCTGGTCCTGGCTAAACTGCTTTGCTCGCTGCAAGGAAGGAAAAACCCACACAACACCTATTACAGTGCATTTAATTAAGACAAGCATCAACTTTATGTGCTGTTATTTGCTCTGGCCGGCTCTCTGTGGTGTAAATATTGAGCGGCGGCCTCGCCGGGTTGCTGATCAATGCCCCTGACCTCCCGCTGCGGGCTTCCGTTGGAGGCAGGGTCTACCCGCCAGCCCCCGGCCTGCCAGCGAAGCTCTGCCATAGGGACGTGTGCGGTGGTTTGACAAGCGTCTAGTGAGTGTTGTTTTAAGTCGGAATAGCCCACGGGAGATGGTAAAAAGGGAGATCAGGAGCGAATGGTAAGAAGAACCCTGGGGGTCAGCGTTGCCCACCTGGCCTCACGGGAACCAGGGAACCGACACCTGGCAGAAGGCAGGGGGTGGACTCGCCGACCCTCGTTTGCTGACCCTCAACTCTGAGAGCACGTGTGATGTGTGTGCGTGAGCTGTGAGCATGTGTGAGTGTGTGCAGTTGTGATCACGGCAGACTACAGTTAGGGCTATCCCAAAGCAAGCTTCTCCTGTGTGTGCTGCCCAGGGGACCAGTTGGCAGTTTGAGGAGGCATCTAATGTCGAGACCTTCCCGGGTGAGACCGCCTCAAACCTGGCACAACTGCGCACCTGAGGCGTAGGCTCCCGAGTTGGCTTGAGGGACTCTGCCCACACCAAGGAGCCGCGCCCCTTCCCCAGCGGCCGTTGGTTGGTGTGGGTGGAGATCTGGTGGGCTTGTACTTGCTGGGACTGTCGTGCATTTTCTGGGACGTTGGCTTTCCCAAAGAGCTCATAAGGGAGCACCCCCCCGCCCCCTCGCCGTACACTGAGGGAATGCAAACTAGTAACAGGATAGTTTAGCGTTAAGGAGATATCTGGTGGAGATTGTTTGGGAGAACTAGTCCCAGAAAACTAACCTACACTCAATACAAGTCCTTTCAACCAAACCGCCCCCGAGTTACGTATCACAAACTACTTTGGTAAAGGCTTTGCTTTGGGTTTAGAATGAAATCGGGCCGCCTGTGCCCCTGTGTTCTCAGCACCATTTCCTGAGCCCCCAGGTGATTGCCCAGCGCTGTGCTGGGAGCCTGGGATTGACAGAAAGAAGCCCAAGAGAGACGGAGTCCCCAGCGGGAGCCCTCCTGCCCAGAAGCACTCAGAGAGCTGAGCAGAGTCCACCCACTGCTGGTGACTCAGCCTGGAGCGAGGGCTGCGTCCCAGGCTGGGAAACCCCTCAGTGAAAGGAACCATCGCCGCGACTATCTCTTGGACCTGACTGGGGACGAGGAATTATCTCCAGGGGTCCTGGCTGGTCGGGAAACACAGTGACTCACAGCAGGTCAAGGCTGTTCAAGGGGAAACAGGATGTGACAGGCCCCCCCGGGGCTGCCTCTAGCCACTGGGGACGTGCAAGAGCCCCGCCATGTCCAGCCATTGGGTCTCCAGGCTAAGAAGACTCAAGTGCTGGAGGAACATCTGAGTTGGCCAAGTCCGGTCACTCAAGGCACGTCGGCCACATTGGTGTCCCCGACGGCTTCGATTCGGGACAGCAGGTTCAGATGCTGCGGTACGAACCTGGGGGCTGCTCCCCAGCTCTGCTTGTTTTCTGGGGACCCAGGGGCAGGAATCTGACCACACCCTATCTCCTCTCACCAAATCTACTGCAAAACACACCTTCATCTCTCACCCGGGGTGGGCGGTGCTGTGCAGCCCTCTCTCACCCCTGCCCTGGCCCCTGAGGGGTCAGCGAGGCTGGGTTGGGATCACACGTTTTGGGGTCCAGACATGGGGAGCAAGGTTTGGGGACAGCAGATCCTGGCTTTGGACCTGGGCTTGGCTTTTGAGGTCAAGCAGCCACTTGCGGGCTAGCCCAGGGACCTGAGGGTTCAGCGCCCATGTATTTCAACCAAGTTGTCCCTCCCAGGCCAAGATTGATTATTTTTTTGTTTCTAGAATGGAGGAAAAAGTCTTCCCTTCACAAACTGGGAACTATGCTAACTTTACTACTTAATATGGTGTATCTGCTTCTTTAAAAATAAACTCTTGGCTAAAACTATTTATCTCTTTTCTGAAAGCTGTGCTTTTCTTTCTTCTTTAAATACTAGGCAGAGTTTTAAGGGGCTTCCAGGCTAGTAAGTCACTGGTGCCTGGGCTGCTGAGACAGTCACATGCATTAGACAGCAGAAGGGATGGTAGACACACTCATTCAACAGGAGAAGGGATGGTAGACACAGGCATTCAACTGGAGAAGGGATGGTAGGCACATGGCCCCATCGCTCTGGAAAGCCAGGCATGAGGTTCAGTGCTCCCCGAATTCTGGGGTATTGACAGAGAATATAATAATTTTGAAAGATGATGACGGGAAGATAAAAGTGATGAAAACCGAACCTGGTTCACGATTCCCCCCTACTTCTCCAAAGGCCATGCAGTGATCCAACTAATTTAAAATACCACTGATGGGTGATAACTAAAAGTATTTTACCACAGAGCTGCTGGAAGATTTCTTACCCAGAGATGCAAACACACAAACCGAAGAGACGAATCTCTCGTCATAACCCAGAACAGTCTAGGCGACTGCAGCTAGCAGGGCTGCGCCATCGTCCTCTTGGTTTATCTAAAATCTGTTCTTGGGTAGAAGACGGAGACTTGCTTGGCTAGGGCTTCCCCGTTTATTGTGGTCACTGTGGAAACCACACAGGACTCAGCCTAGATGTTGTAAACCTTTGAACACCACATCTATAAAACTCCGTTGTCTCTTCAAATTTTCAGCAACATTTCTCTCCTCTATATTTACCACATTTTCCAAAATATAAAAATGTTCTTTCTACTTTACATGTTGACTACATGTGAAAAATTAACTCCGGTTCTATTACTTCCAAGTATTCTTTTATGTCGTGCACGGACGTCAAGGAGAATTTTCCAACCGAAGCACCGAGTTGGGAGAGTGGACACATCTGTTTTACGTTGCAGTTTGTTTTATTTTATTTCTCAGGATATGAATTCACAACTATCTTATAACTGAAGACTAAAGAAAAAACATATGTTGGTAAATCTGATTTCTGCATTTTTTCATTCAAGGGAAGTTGCCTCCCTCAGCCGTCTGCCAATAAGTAATAAATGGACTTGGCAAAAAGTTTATTTAAGTTGGCTTTATTAAGCCAGGAAAGTGCAGAAATCAAGTCTGGGACCGGCAGAAAAATCTGTTCCTTTGAAGTCAATAAAAATCCATCTCCTTAATCCTTTTTTTATTGCAAGGAGTGGTGATTTTTCTCATCTGACTCACCGAGAACCTTGATTTGGCTAATCGGTCTTGCTTTGTTATCTTCCTCCTCCCAAGCTTCCCCAACAGCGAGTCCCTCCCCCTGACAAGGGCCACCTTCGGCACGTGCACAGTGGCCCCTCTGGTCATAACCGCTCTCCAGTTCACCCTCATGGAGACTGACGGCGCAGGTTCCTAATTACTATCCATCTTGACAAGAATAAACACAGCAGCAGGCGGCAAGCTAAAACGCAAGACTCATGGAGACAACCCACAAACAAATGACAGAAAGATGGCTCGGATCTGATGCCATCTCTCTTTCCCAAGCTGTCTCCGTTACACCTTCTGTCACAACTTCCCGTGACTGCCGCCTCCCCGGTATGACCACTAAGGAAGAAAAATCAGGACCCCCGCCTCCTAACTCCCCTTCCACACCCCAACCTGCCCACTGCGGCATTCTAGTCACAGTGGACGATTTGACAGTTTGGAAAGAAGGGCATGATCTTGATAGCACAAAAACAGGTACGAGCCCTGGCTGGTGTGGCTCAGTGGATTGAGCACAATAGGCCTGAGAACCAAAGGATTGTGGTTCGATCCCCAGTCAGGGCACATGCCTGGGTTGCAGGCCAGTTCCCAGTGGGGGACACGTGAGAGGCAACCACACACTGATATTTCTCTCCCTCTCTCCTTCCCTTCCCCTCTAAAGATAAATGAATAAAATCTTTAAAAACAAACAAACAAAAAACATGCACGAAATTGAAGACACGCAGAGCCCGGGAGCCCGCCGTGACGTCTGGCTGGACGCGGCAATGAGGACGAGATTCCTTACCTAAGCTAAAGAGCACCAAGAATTTCAGACACACGAACTCCCGCTGGTCGAACTGGAGAGAGCGCAGCTTGGCCACCAGCTCCTGGGCATGGCTCATGAGGTTGTTCAGGGTGGTCCCAGCCTGCGATGCTATCATAGCGTAATCCACCTGCAACACAGAATGACGGTCGAGCTCAGGAAGGCACAGTTCCCTCGAGCCCTTGCCCACTTGTGATGCGGACTTGTAACAGGTGGCTTTCCCCAGACAAGGAGCTGAAGACACATTGTATCATTAGAAAAGGAACCGCAATGAGTCTGATGGGTCTAATTGTCTTATAGCTTTGGAGAGAATAGTTTTTTACTAAATTACATATCTATATCTCTTTTCTATTGTGAAATTGCATTATCACACAGGATTAAGACATTACGTCTCATGAACAAGTTCAAAGACATTGTCCATGAAAAGCGAGTTCATTCAACACAGCATTCTGAGCACACAGTGCTTGGTGTAAATGAGCCCTCGAGGAATAGGGAGGCGGAAATACCTTTCTATTCAGAGACTCTGTTTCAAAGACCTCATAGATCGCATGCTTGTGGGCACTGACAGCGTCCCAGTTACATTGTTTCAAAGCGTGTGGCTTCCTACAAAGCTACAAGGACTGTTGCCACGTGATTTCGGATACATTTCTCTCTAGAGACAGCCACGGTCTTGTTTCTAAGGAGAATTTCTCGACTGAGGAAACAAAACAAAAAAAAGGCTTATGTTCTTTCTTGTCAGAACTGATGCCGCGATGCACCAATCTGGGGTTATTCACGGGGACACAGGAGGTCGCTTTTCTGATAACAAGATGTTGGGCTGGTCGTCAGTGACCAGTTACAGTCTAACAGGAAAGCCCCGCCGGTACCTGGCGTGCCCCCCTTCTTCGCCGCTGTGCTCTCGGGCACACGCCTCTTTCAGGTGTGTTTAATATTGCAGAGGCAGCAAATCTGTCTGGGAGGCGAGGGCTCGTGTGCCAGTCAGCTGGAGCAGGCTGTATGAAATTTTTATATGTATTGACATTTCATTACCATAATTGACTGCGCTCGCCTGTCTAGGAACCAGCACGGGCCGCCTCCCGAGCAGGCCGGCTGGTCCCCGGAGGAGAATTTGCAATTAAAAACGAGGCAGAATGGATTTTGTTTTTATTGTGTAAATATGATGAGTTGAATTTTCAACTTTACTGAGAGAACCCTGGGTGTGCAGAAACACTCTTCAAGAGTGAGAAAAATTATGAGTCCGTGGAAAGACGACCCCCAGAGGTGTCAATCAGTTTGTGCAGAGTCAACGAGGCATGAAAACGCCGCCGTGCGTGTGCCCGCCGGGGGGGGGGGGCTGCCTGCCCTGGGGCGCCTGTGGCTTCCGTCCCGGACGCCTGCGCATCGGGGGTCCTAGGGGCGCCTTCAACTTCTGTCTCCAGTGTGTGAAGGAGGAGCCTTGAGCTGGGAGCAGGTGGACCCTGGGGGCCCCCAGTGGTCAACTGCCCGGCACAAAAGGCCAGGTTGGCGATCCTTTTGCCAGTTCCCTTACAGAAATGTCCACTCCAAGGAAGGTTTTCCTGTGTAAAGTGGTGCCTGCGCTCTGCATCTCTCGGGAACTGTTCTTGCTCTAACGGCTCCAGATCAGGGTGACAGAGACCCTGCAGAAGCAAACAGGATGGGACAGTGGAGGACAGTCGGGGCCGCAGAGGTGGAACGAGCCCCGGAAACAGCAGCGCAAGACCTTGGCCAAGGGCAAGTCATCCGACGTCTCTGCCCCTCAGAGCTCCCGGAAAAAGGCTGTGAAGCCAGATGGTGATGAGGCTTCTCCCCTCCTGTGATTCTCAGGGAGGGGAGCAGTGGGAACAGCGGGGAAGGTGGCTGTTCAGAGCCACCAGGCTGGGGAAGGTGCCCCAACACCACAGACATGCTGGCGTTAACTTGGCGGTGAAGACGGAGTCCGCCCGGTTTGTGTGCCGTTGCGACAGGTGTGCCGTAAGTTCAAACCCTAGATCCTCACACTTACAGAGTAGTGCCCTGTAACTGCAGAGAGCCTAACTAGCCGATTTTCCTGTGACGAGATGGGTCCGTTCAAACTTGAGGAGCGTGGTGTTCTGGAGAGCGTGAAGGAACAGGCGTAACCGCTCCAGGCTCCTCTGTGCGGTGGCTGTTGCACGGGCCCAGTGCCTGGTGGGGCGGACTCAGGAACCCACGGGCGCACCAGCACCTTCCGAGCTGGACATGCGTTTACATACCGACCGGAGAGCCCAGACACGCTTGTTATTAAACGGGGGCTCCGATAACACTGCCCTCGAGGATAATTTATCAAATTCCGAGGCTCCGAAGGAGGCCACGCGATGTATTTGCAGACCAGTGCCCACGGCCACGCCGTCCTCACGTTTTATTGCAAACGTAATTACATTCTCGTCGTCGAAGGCAGAGTGCGCGCCCGTCTCAGGGGACGCTGGCCTTGCCTTTTATGTACTTAGTAAAATTAATCGATCGCCTTCTTTCCCGTCGTCTGCGCGCCCCGAGACTCGAGGCGGGGATGGGAGAGATACCGGCGGCTGGTGTCGTTCTCTTCCGATGAATTCACCCATCGTGAGCGTAGGAACGGCGTGAGCTAAATGGCTTTCGGTTCTAACAGCCGAGACTTTTGATGAGTTGAATGTTGTAAGATGCCTGTCATTTTAACACGGTCCGCCCTAGTAGAACACAGTAAGTCGCCGGCAGACCTGAGGGTGATGTGACAGTGGCTGGTCATTAGCTACGATGTGAAAGACTAAAAGCGGTCTCAACACAGAGTGTCTGTTGTATCTTGTGTATGTTTTGGGTGTACTTAGTTCTACAGTGTTGGGTGGAAATGGATCCTTGCCATAATTGTAGGACACCACACACACAGAATTGGTCTGATGATGCTTTACTGTTTCTGACCATCGTTACTTCCTTTTTGGGTGACCAGGTTATTTAGTAGGTACTTATATGGATGCCTGCTTACGAGACAGAGTGAAAACACAGTAGCTGACTTTCGTCCTGGCTGGTGTGGCTCAGTGGACTGAGTGTTTGCCTGCGAACCAAAAGGTTGCAGGTTTGAATCCTGGTCGGGGCGTGTGCCTGTCTTGTGGGCCAGGTCTCCAGTTGGGGGCATGCGAGAGGCAACCACACACTGATGTTTCTCTCCCTCTCCTTCTCTCTCCCTTCTCCTCTCTCTGAAAATAAATAAATAAATCTAACAAAAAAAGAACCCATGCAAATAAACATTTTCAGCTGTTCAGAAGGGATCGTCACAGGGCCATGGAGAAAAGTCTCGAAGCGAACCTGGAAATTTGCGATGAGTGACCAGGGAGTGCTTCTGGTTGAACCTGAGAAGGGGGTGGGTTCGAGTTCAAGTTTTGCCCAGCAGTTCCTTGTCACCTAGCCTCGGGAGGGGGACAGTGGTCAGCGCCCCCACCCCCCTGGGGATAAGGCACCCAGACAGGTTCGAAGGCCCCTCAGATTCTCCAGGACCTTCCTCCTCAGCCCCTTCCTCCCAGCTCAGCTGAGCCGGGCCGCGGGGCCCACCTGGGGGAGCCTGGGGGCCCGGCCCCAGCCAGTGGGGTGGGTCATACCCATTATAGTGCCAGGTGGGGAGCAGAGTCCAGGGCTTCCCCTCCACATCTGCACGTCCCTTCACCGACTGGCGGTCAGACACGGCCTCAGACCACACGGGAGTCATCCCCGCCCGGGCAGTGGGTGGTCGGGTGTTCTGCACGCTTCTTAGAAATCACGCCGTTTAACTTTTCCCTGTGAGAGTGCTGTGCTGATTTCACAGGACCCGTCAGAGAAACAGGCTTCTGTCCTGGCTTCACAGCTCACATGCTGCACAAATCCCGGCCAGGGGGTCGACGTGCCTCTGTGACAGATGGGGAACTCGATTTAGGAAAGTAAGAACCCCCCCAGCATGTTTACTCTAAAGCCTGGGAGAGAACCCAGCAGAAATGGCTGATTTGGGGAGGTGGCATTAGGAAAGACCCCCCATTTTTAAGGGGATTTATTGCTGCAGGAGCCTGGTGGTGTCTAAGCCTCGCGAGAAGGAGCCGGAGGTGGCAGGTGGGTGGGATGAGGTGTGGGGGCAGACACCCTGGGTCTTGAGGCCGAGTTAACTCGTTTTCATCGAGCAATTGGGTTGGGGATACATTCAGTCCCAAGTCAGTCCACGCAGCTGGAGTTTATCACGAGCCCGACACCCTCAGCATGACCCAGGTGTCGTGGGGCTATGAAAGGTGTCCAGCACCTGGGTGAAAATTCCTTCCTCCCCCTTTGCTTTGGAACGCCCTCATTGTCCTTTCCATCTCAGAAATCGCAGACAGCGCAGAGATCTCTTGAAAATGTTTTATCCCGCTGGTTCCGTGAAAGGCGAGACTTGCTTCAGTAAATGGGAACAGCTGGTGGAAGGAGCCCTTGCTAGGCTACCCACCTGGGCCAGGTGGGAAAGGGCAGGTGGGGCGGCGACGGAGATGCGGCTCCGTTGGAAAGCGCGTGCGCCTAGTCGGTCGTATCGTAGGAACTAGGCAGCGTGCCAGCAGCACGCAGGTGGTCACTTCGTGCGCATCTTAAACATCGGGTCCCTCGGTGCACCTGCAACTAACATGGCGTTTAACGTCAACTGTCATTTTAAAATAGTCTTTGAGAAAAGCGTGGTGGGGGAGCAGCCCTAGGCTGCAGGGGCCCGTGAGGAGGGGACCCCTCCCCCCAGCGGTGGGGGCCGAGCCCCGGGCAGCAGCGGCCCAGGCAGGAGACCACAAATAGCATCTGTGCCTGGGCTGTTCTTGGTTCGGAACAGAAAGACAAGAAATGCACTTTCTCTACTTTTTAAATGGTAATTACGCCTGCCCAGGGGCAGCACTTAAGGGAAAATGAAATGTGAAATAAGGAATATTTCTAAAGAGCCGGAATGGAAGTGCTCTGGGAGAGAATGGCAGAGCCCATTTCGTTTCTGAAACTCGGAAGGAAATGAAATCACATTAATTTGTGGGCTGAGTCCCGTCCTCCTAATGCAGCTCCGAGCTCGGTGAGGGTGGGAGGGGGCTGGGAGGCAGAGCCGTGAGACTCTGGAAATGGGTACGTTCCCTGCAAAGACAGGGGTCACGGGGCGGGAGCCCCAAGCCAACCCTGGGGAGCACGGCCAGGCGGCCCCACGGAGGCTCCGCTCCCTAATCTAGCAGCTTTCCCCAGCAGAGACCCAGAAAGCAGGGGCCGGTGGCCACAAAGAGGCTGGAACGGACTCAGTTTGCAGCACCCCAGGAACGGCGCTTGCCTTTCATCGGATTGGGAAAACACGACGTATTTATAATGGCAGACGGCGTGGAGACAGCCTCTTGCTCCCAGAGTTTCTCAGCACAGCAGCGTTTACGGCTGCTGTCCTGGCGCCAGGTACAGGACGGCCGAAGTGTGGCTGAACGCCACAGCAACGGCTGAGCAGGGACAGTGCCCCCCACGGAGAGGCCCCCGGTGTCCTGTGTGTGTATTTTGGTGACAGCTCAGTCACAGGAGGGGGGGTCAGAAATACGAGGGCATGGCCCGGTCCCTTGAGGTTGGAAAGGGTTCCCCTGAGCCGGTGTCCTCTGCCCCAGACACCCACCCAGCCAGCCGTCTCCCCTCCGTCAGGTCTGTGCTGACGTCCCTTTCTGCGGTGACCCTTTTCTGTTCTCTTCACCAGCACCCTGGCCTCTGCGAAGGTCCAGGTCCGTTTATGGGGGTTATTTGCTGCCTGCCCGCTGCTCCCTGAGACAACCCCGATTTCCAGGAGGGCGCCGTCCTTCCTGTCTACCCGCGAACACGTGCCGAAGCCCCAGAACAGAGCGCCCCACAAACAGTTGTTCACAGCACAGGGAACTCTTCAAAAAGCAGCAGGAACCAGCAGCAACTTCTTCTTCCCACCTTCCTGTTGAATGACACCCTGTTCTGGACGACGCCCCCCGACCCTCCTCGCTCCCCTGCCGGGAGGCTGAACACGCGGATTGTATGTGGCATCTGAGCCCGCCCCTTCCACCCACGTGAACCCAGAGCTTCAGGGTTCCACGGTTGACACGGTTTTCTAGTCGCCAACACACAAATGAAACAAGTAGAAGAAGCTCCAGGAAGAAACCCTGGGTCCCCTCGATCTCTTTGGCTTAGCGATCATTTTGACCCTGTGCAGCCCGGCAGGCCGGCTGCGGCCGTGTCTCTGAGATTCCGTCTGCCCGGTCAAGTTCAACCGTAACCTCTGGGGCAGGAACACGGTGCACCAGTCAGCCTTCTCCATTCCCCGAAGCGCATCTCGCCCTTTATAGCACAAGAGCACTCCTGACCCAGTTACGTCCCTGCCGTTCCGAACATGCTTAATAAAAAGACACTGTTTGGTCTCCGCACTCACTTGTTGCCCGGTAACCAGGAAGATGCACCCTTCCTTCCCGTGGACCACCTGCCGGTAAACGTGGTCGAGAATCAGGAGCTCACTCCAGCAGTTCTGAAGCAGCTTCATCTGGTCGTCCACCTGCAGCAGAGACAGAAAAGCCGACACGGTTACCCCCACGCTGCTGTTTTCCCACAGTTTCTCTGCATCAGAGAGCCCCCCAGAAGCAGGGGGGGTCCCCACCAATGGCCACCAAAGCGGGGATGCTCAGAGTTTACAACATCACTCCTGAAAATCATCATCTCATCCAGGCAAATACTTTTTTGTCCACGTAGAAGTACTTAACGCTAAGTATTTACAATCGGCGAGTTGCTGGGAAAAGTCGCTTCAGGACATCGGTCTGCCTGACGTGAACAGAACTGGTAGAGTCTCCTGGTGGGGGTGCAGGCGCCCGCCCTCCATACCCGCCCCTGGAACGGCCCCGGGTAGCTCGTGCGCATGGGTCTGGAGGTTAACTCACAGAATCGAGGCGGACCCCCACCAGCTGCCCACCCGGAGGATTTATACAGAGGACAGCTAGCCTCACAGCCCCAGGGACTTTGGAGGTGGGGGACACCCTGCCACTGTTGGCAAAACCAAGTGTCCAGGTTGTGCCAGACTCTGCGCAGAGCAGGGCGGGCCTGCGGCTCCCTGGCCGGCTCCTGTGTCCGCAAACAGCGCCTGGTGAGGCTGTGGATCTGAGTCCCAGGACGCACCCTGGGAGTGAGCAGACCCGGTGCCCCTAGGGTCCCAGGGAGGGTCGGCGGCCGCCCCAGCGCCGCCTCCGCTCACGCACCAGCCTCTCTCCAGGTCATGTTAGGAGTCACTGGAATTTTAGAAACCACGTAAACCTGACTCACTTTTAACACATTCTCTTGGAAGAGGCCACACTGTGCCACTCTGGATAAAACAGAGCTGGATGAGTCTTAGGATGGCTCCCCTTGCACATTAGCGGCGGCACGGCCCTGCGGCTCTTTCCATGAGTCAGTGACCCAGGGACCATGGTCCCCAGCCCCTGTGGTCCCCAGCCCTGAGCTCAGCGCTGTGACAAGGATTAGAGGCGCAGCCCTGTGGTCTCTACCTGTGAGGGCCGGGCTGGGCCCTGCCTTCTCTGAGCCAGCCTCTCCACCTGAACCCACGAGACGGTTCTCATCACGAGGTGGGAGCGCAATGGTGGGTGCAGACCCCTTCGTGGGGTGTGAAACTGTACACACTGAATGGACACACGTGCCCCGTTCGACGTGTCAACAGGACCGTGGAGGTCGCAGCGACAGCCAGGCCCTGTGATCGGGAGGGCCTCAGGTGGACACCTCCGCCAGCTGGTCTGTCCCCACCCACAGAGGTCTCTTTGTTCAGTACATAGACGTGCGAGGGCCAGGCCTGGGCTCAGCGCCGTCCCCTCCCTGTGATGCCGCCACTCGGGGGCGATGGTCAGTGCCAGGCACTGCTCCTTGTTTCTGGGGAAGGTCTCCAGGGGGTTGTGTGGTGTCGTGGGTGGGACTCGGGCAGCCAGCGGGCACCGCTGCCCCAGAGGCTGGGGGAGCTTTCAGATCAGAGTGCTCAGCTCGCGGCGGGGGGGGGGGGCAGGCACCGTGTTCTCCAGACAGCTGACACCCCCTCCGCGTCGCAGCTGAAGTGTGTGGACCTGGGAGGGCCACTCAGCATCATGACACACGTTTTTCCCTGTGACCTGAAGCTCCAGAGATTTCTTCAGGTCTCTTTTCGGGAGGCCGAAAACACCGCGCTCTGCAATCACCTTCCCCAAAACAGTTACCGCGCAGGTTAATGTCGCCGACAATTTCAAGTCAGGCGGGGGAAAGGGGAGGCCCCGGTGCGTTTAGGGGAACCGGGGGTGTGCCAGTGTGTGGGCCTATTCACACAGCGAGGGCCTGTCTGGTTTCCTCTGTGCAGGTGGAGGACGAAGGAGCCGAGAGTCTGCACCGGCCACACGGGCGGGGAAGGCGAGCACGAGGGACAGGAGGGGCCAGGTCGCAGGCCCCCACCCTCCGTTGGCCCGGAGAGCCCCCAACCTTCACGTGCCACGGAACGCCGGTCCTTCCCATTGCGAGGTAAGAACTGAGGTTTCCCGGCCGCCTGTTCTTTGGGGGTGTTGAACGTTGCAAAGACGGATGCGGTTTGATGTCACGTTCAGAACAGGAGTCAGGGGCACGGTCTTCAGTCCCTGTTCCCGACTCTCTCCCTCGGGAAGGGGGGTGGGGAGAGACCGACCAGTTGTCCTGGAAGGAGGGAAGGCTCCGTTCTCCTGGAGCCTCCAGTGCCTCACTAGGGGCGGACGTGGTCTGGCCCCCTTCTGCCTTACGTGGGCACCTGCTTCCTGCCGTCGGTGCTGTGCTGGGTGGTGTCTGTCCTCACTCCTCCTGGAGGGTCTCTGTGATGGCCTCGTCTGCACAGGTCCTGTGGGGGCGTGGTCACCTGTCTGCATCCCTCGGGTGGGGCTGGAGGACCGGGCGGTCGCCTGTGCAGTGTCTGCCCTGGTGCCGGTGCCGGGCGGAAACGGTGCGTTTTGTAAGAGCTTGTGCAGCAACAGGATGAACGATGGGACAGCCTTCGGTTCTGTGTGTTCCCGCTCTTCCCTGAGCGTCTCTGGCCCGAGTCCCCGGCTGAGCGAGCAGCGGCCGAGGAGGCTCTGGGAGGGCTGCCCTGTGCACGGGACCCTGCACACGGCCACGGGTCTGGACCCACCGTCCTGGGGCCCTGGGTGACACCTTCCTGACCGACTGCACTTTTAACCCCCCTCCTGAGCCGCTGACTCCTATTTCACCACCTTCCGAGGCGGCTTCCAAGCCAACTGTCTGTCTCATCATTTTCCATAATTGGTGATGTCCCATTTTCTGTTCTCTGGACACTGGCGGGGACACAGCTCCGAGGGGCTGTGGGTGACATCGTTTTTGCACATCTCTGAATAAAAGGATGAGGTGGATTTGATGGCCAACTTGTTCCTCATCTCCAGATAAGGAAGGTTGGCGATTTAGAAGATCCTCTTGGGTGGGGCTCCGGAGAAAAACAGCCTGCATCTTGCAGTACATTTTTCACCTGCCCACGCCATCAATAAACAATTTGAGAGGGGCCATTTGGGGAGGGGGACCGATGGCATGTACCTCCCCAGAACTGAGCAATCACCGCCCCATACAGCCAGTCCTGGGTTATCAGCTGTAATAAAAAGCAGGCTTATCTCAGAAGCCTCCTCACTCTTCGGGGAAGCTGTTTGCACCGACGCCGTAGACCAGTGTGGGAAGGAGCACAAGCCCCGTATTGTTGCCGAGTTCAGCTCCCACAGCCCAGAAGGTTAATCATTAGAAACCTGCGCTTTCTCATAAGAACGGGCCAGTGGGCAAACAGCCCGAGGAAGAAAAATGTGTAGATCTTTCTCAAGCCCACGTTTAACTTGTCAAAACCTTTTGGTCGCCCCTTCCCTTTCCCGTTCAACCGTCCGGCAGCCGGGCTGGGGTTCGCTCTTGCTGGGCATTGGAAGGGGGCATGGCGATTCTTTGTGGCTGAGCTTCGAGAAGGAGGCTCAGGGGACAATATTCTTCAGAACTGCACCCATTTCTTAAATCTGCTCCCTGAGCCGGTGTGCCAGGCCGTGGGTGAGAACCTTGATGGCAAATCGGTGACTCACACAGCCGCTGCCTTCAAGGACAGGAGACTGAAGTGCCACTGGCTGCCATAATTGCAGGTCACTGGGAGCCACAGCACCTTCCTTGGTTCCTGGGGAGGTGCCCAGGGGCTCCCGGAGCGTCCGAGGGGGCCAGCCTCAGCGGCTTCTGCGTTACAGAAGCGCCCAGCAAATGCTTTCTCGCGGAGCTTCCGTCAGAAATCTTGGAACGAGGTACTTAAAAGGTGATGTGACGGGGCTTCAGACTCATCAGAGATGAGGTCCAGCTGTTGCTGTTAGTATCCTTGTTACTTTTGCTTTTTGGCAGAAAGTAAACAAAAGTTCCTGGAGGTGGGTCCCCATTTACTCATTTATGCCCTGACTGGGAATCGAACCCACGGCCTTTAAGCTTGCAGGATGATGCCCAGCCCCCCACAAGTCACGCTGGCTGGGGTCCCCATCTCTTTTACACTTCCTTCTGTGGTGACGGCGACATCGATGGGGGTCTGTGCCGAAGTGGGTGGGGGGAGAAACTAACCGGAGACCAATCAGAAGCAACCTCACCGCCCTCAGGGAGAACCGCCCGGGGGCCAGGCAACCCCCTCGCTCACCTGCCACTGTTTATACAAAGCACCCGATGACCAAACTGCTACAAAGTCCAAGAAAGAAAGGAGCTCACAGGAGCAATGATTAAACCGGCGCGAAGAACAACACTGCAAGAGAAGCCACGGCAGGGAGGGCTCCCTGCGGGCTGTTGGGATACCGGGTGGATTTATGGCCAGCCGCCCTTCCCGGCTCCAGATAAGAGATTCGGGCGCCGGGGACTCTGCTGTCAACACACAGCCTGGAGCTGCCTGCTTCCCGCCCCTCTCCACTCGCCGGGGCAGGGGCGCAGGGTGCTTCCTGCCCCTGGACGCAGACTCCCGTTGGGCCGCAGAAGGCGGAGGCAGAGGCGTTAACTCCATGACCCCTGCCCCTTTCCGCCCCAAAGCCCGGCTGAGTGGAGCTCCCTGCAGCTCCCACCCTGGATAGGCCCAGCTGCTCACCCTCCCCACGTTCCGACGCAGCCGCTGGAACCGCCTGCCAGCCCTTCGGACAAAAACTCGTCCTGAATTCCCCGTGTTTCCCTCTCAGGGTCTCTGCCCGAGCAGGCGGACCTCCAGAGCCAGTGTGAACTGGAATGAGCCCCCGTCTGCTGCCCTGGTGGCCTCGGGCGGCCCCCATGGCAGCAACCCAGCAGGTGAGGGTGGGAAGTGGCTGTCACACAGCTGAGTCCTTAACCTCCGGGGAAGGGGGACATCCTGGTCCCGCCCCACCTCCACACGATCGGGTGTAACATGAAAGCGAGAACAGGGATTGGGTAACAGATGAGGGGAGAGTGCCCAGGAAGCAACCCCCAGCCTCCACCTCTTACACCTGCACCTGAGCGGCCGGGACACTCAGAGGCCCTGAGGGAACGGCCTTAATGGGGGTCTCACAGCAGGTG